GAATTTCCCGAACACGTTATTGTTGAGACATTGTTACCCAAACACAAATATATAAGTGATACTCGACAAACGAATCATAATAAACATTCATAGCCAAAGTAGTCTTAATCCCAACAATGGGAATGATTTGGAGTTTCGATTGCTGATCATTGCTGAGTCAATCCTTCATCAGCATCAAGTCTTCACCAAATCCCACCATTGTCTCACATCAATAGCAAAAGCCATCCCTGATCTCTTACTCTCACCAGGCTATAAATTTGCTCAAGCAAAGAAATGAATAGTCAACACATCAAGAAAGCATTGTTAATGCAAGCAATAGAAGACCTTATAATGCTATTCATGACAAGAAATTGTTGAGAATTTACTTAACATGCATAACGGAAAATTAATAATTTTTCAATTCCTACAACGGATCTGTTTTGTGTTTAGAATAATACATTTGATGAATTTTACAAACTCATTTGCTGATTTTCGAACTCGAATGCGATCCAAACTGTCCAATTGTCCAACCTCCAACGGTGATCCACACAGAGAACAAGAACGACAACTAGAGTTTTCTTTTCTTGTGTTAGCAAGAATAATGAATTATTTCATACAGTTTTCAAACCCTAGCAGCCTATTAATATAAGCTCTAGCAAGCTTGGCCCGTCTTTTAAATTTAATCCGGTCCAATATTTAATTAATCAAATTAATTAAATCTGGTCCATGAATTAATTAATCTAATTAATTAATTCGGGTCTATTAATAAGTAACTCAATTAGTTAATTAATTTTGTGTGTGACCCATTAGATTCCCGATCGTGATGCCTAACGACGTGAATTATTGTTTTGATCTAATCAAAATCGATAAATTAAAATACCCCTTTTAATTTATCACTAATTCACATTCGTCGTTTCAGATTGATATCTAGCAATGTGTCGGGCAATACATGTGACGGGAAATGTCACGTAGTGTGACAAAACCAAACTTGTTCGTTTACCATGAAACTATAATCCTTTCGTCAATATGATCCGATCATTTATGAGATATGGATATGTATCATCTCAATTATCGATCATATATTTTATTCCACTGTTAAGTCAATGTAAGTCGAAAACTCCATTTCGACTTATGAGTTCACCTTTGCCAAGGATTGCATTATCAACTTAATTAAATAAAACATAGATCAAAATCTTTTACTATTTAAGAGTGACGAATCATCTATCGATCATTCACAATTTTCATATGATTCTTGACATACCCGAACAATACTGTATTAGCGACATTTGGTAGAGTAACATCCAACACCACCAAAGTATGAATGCCCTCATATAAGGTACTATGATGACCTCAAGTCAAATGACAAATTCCACTACCGAACGTTAGAGATTAACCACTAACACTCAGATAGTTATCCATGTGGAATCTCCCAGCGGGTCTCCAATGTTTTGTTCTATAACAAAACATTCACGTATTCATTCAAGTGTCACCACACTTTAGCNCCATGTGGAATCTCCCAGCGGGTCTCCAATGTTTTGTTCTATAACAAAACATCCACGTGTTCATTCAAGTGTCACCACACTTTAGCTTGTGAGATCAGCTACTTACTTCACAAGTAAGAATGCCACACGTGATGGTCTATCTGTAATAATGATATCCATATCTCGTTATTACTTCGACCACGAACAATTTAAGGTTCAGTCATATGTAATTTGTATCTCACAATCACAATTTCTTGTGATTAACAAATCACCAAAACTTGAATCTACGGTTTTTATTATCTAATTTATTAGAATATCAATTCAATTAAATAATAGATATTGCTATAAATATGCATCGATTATATAAATATTTAAAGTGTTGGTGTTTAAAGTTGATTGGACTAATGGTATAACACTTATAGAAATAACATTAAAGAATAATATAATAGTTGTTTAATTTTTAAGAGAGCAATAATAAAGAATAGAAAGACCATTTCAAATCTTTAATGCCAGCCTTTCAATTGTCAGTAATGTATAATCCAATTGTTTCGATTAAAATTGGGTTGCTGATCGATTTTATTTCTTATTTCCTTAACTTTGTTTTGTTCCTATATACGGATGCTTCCTCCTTTTCTATATCCTAATTTTTCTAATGCCTTCTCATAGTAATTGCATTCTTTAAAATCCTTTTCACTTTTTTCTTTCTCCACCTTCTTCGGACTACCAAGTAACTCAGTTTTCTAACATGAATTCTAACAGATTATATGTTGTTGATAACTAAAAATTACGAGACACTTTAGATTAACTTGGAAATTTTCGTAGAATAATTGTGTAATATTTGCTGGGATTTGATGTAATAATGATGTTATTTGTCGGAATTCTAGTACAAGTAGTGTTGACAAATTTCGGCAGCCAAACCCTTCTCAATGAGCTTTTGCCCTTTTATGTAAGCCACCATATTGTAGCTTACCGTAATTATGTCAATATATAGTGTCCGATATAGGCATACGTGCCACTGCCCTTTTCGAAAAAATTTGATTGACTAGAGAGTTCGATGGCGGGATCATCATGACACCTAGGCGTAGCCATACATTTGAGGTCATCATTACTTCTCTTGGATTGATTGTTGTGGATAATGTTGCCATCCATGGGGAACACCTTTTCAATCGTGTCATGATTATATTTTCAGATTATGTCTTCCATGGTGACTTATATGTATGTGCCTTAGGTCGACCTCCCGTGCTGTCATGTTCGATTTCGAAAAAGGCTCCTTTGACCATATTAAGGTGAACCCTCATATGATTCGACATGGATTTTCGGATCGACACCAACACATGTCAAATTTGAGACAAGATGAATAAGAGCAAAAATGTACTTTAGAACATAGAATATTTTGATATGTGGAATCGATCCTTTTTTTTTTTTTTCTGAAAAAAGAAAATTATGTTCACATTAAGAGAAAAATGCAAAATAAAAAATTTTGGCCAAATTCTTGGACATTAAAAAGTCCTCTTGGTACCTTGATAGTGAATATTGATAACCAAAATCCCTGCTCTCCTCCCCTGCATGCGCTAAACCCTATAATTGATAGATTACACCTTAAAGAATAATGTTACTTGCAATCGCTCACTTCTGTAATAACCGTACGTGGCATACATGTGGCGGCTGTTAGCGATTTAATTTAATTAGTGAGACAATGAAAACTATTACATTAATGCATCAAATCACTAAACGTAAGAATTACTCCACCTTAAAAGTAGAAAAATAAATCACATTTAAGATGGTCAATCACTTGCATGACACATAGACTGATGTTCTATCACCAGTTATGCTAGATAAAATTATTCATAGTTATTAGTCCTTTTTCTTCTGCCAGGAATACATTTTCAGAATTTTAGACCACACACGGCTATTAGCTCCATCCAATATGAATTGAAGATGAAGTTTCATGAATAACACCAGAAATAATCCAATTATTCAAGTAGATCACCTGTTGGCATTTAAATTTTTCATTCACAAAGATTTATCCAATGCTTCACGTATTTCATAGCATTGTTCATCGACCAAAACTGATCGACATCCTAAGAAAACTCGGCAGTTCCACATTATAATTTTTCAAATAAATTCCAACAGAAGCACCTGGCTATTATATTCTCCAAAGTAGGAAAATAGAAGAAACGCACCACATCATATATCCTAACTTCTGGCATTTTACTGATGCGCAAGAAGACATAATACAGAAAAATGCAGTTCACTGAAGCATAAATGCTTTGATGAAAATTCTTACCTTTCAAGTTCGAGAATACAAGTCTGTTTTACAAACTAAAGTTACAGATCTCGTCCCAGAGAATTTTGAAGGCATATCTCCATAAAAACTGCGGGTAAAGACTAAAAACATGGATCAATCAAGAAAAACTTTGATATCTATACCACTATCAATGAGAGACTGAACAACTGCTCTAATTTTTCCTTCGAACTTGTCTCTCTCTCTAGGAGTATAAGAAGCTGTGTACACGTCTGCTTCTCTTGCTCTATCAGCCAAAATCCGGCCCACGGCCAAACATGCAGGTATGTCAGATCGTGATTTGAGTACTGCTTTGATATCTTTGGAGTTAGTACCAGCAACTGCAACCTGCTTGCTCGTTACCCTGTGTGTGATTGAGGCGGAAACAAAGCGCTTTGATATGAAGACATCAAGAGTAAATGGCTCCATGTAAGCTACAGTACGTTGCTTAAAGGATACATGCTTGTTTAGATTTTTTGACTTTTTCTCCTTTTGGTAAGTGTATGGTCTGCTGTTGTCATCATCAAGAAAATCTTCCACCCCAAAAAAGCTTCTTGGTGCAAAATAAGGCTGTGAAGATATAAAGAAGAGATAAGAACATTAAAAAATCTCAAATCTTAAAAACACTCCAAGGACAAACTGATGCATGTTCCATTGCTACTGCAATGAATTTTCAAAAAAATGAAAATTCAAACTTTTAGTAGATTTCGAAGTTTTGGTTCACCAAGCTTCTAATATTCATTGTACTTCCGATTTTCTCTTTCTAGAGAAAGAATAGGCTAGCTCTGACATGGGTGCTCAAGGTAAAGAGCCAATTCAGAAAAGCAAATGAGCAAAGAAGGCATTGGTGGCCAACTTTTGCTGATGACACGCTATTGAAAACTGCATATAAGAGGTTTCAAGAACCGAGAACACGAGAATTCTAATGTTTCATTTGGACTCATGTTTATTGAATTTTCCTTGATTAGGATGATTAATATTCAAGCGGAGTGTTCTTCATCATTATGTTGACAAATATCAAATTTCAAATCGGCTAGAGGAGTTAGGAGTGATCAAGCATGTTCAGACCAAGTATGAACACATTTGAGGCTTGTACAAGCCAAAGCTGATCCGGAGAGCCAGACACAAATATCCCTCAACTCAGCTTGGCTTGGTTCACACTCCTATGGTCTATAAAAACAGTCAGTTCAATATAAAAAAAGCTTGTACATAGTGACAGTCCATTCCTACTCTGGCAAGAAAAGACTAATGGAGTCAGCTAACCAAGGAGCTCCAAATACTATCACTGTATGGAGGGTTCTATATAGAGCCCCAGCAGAAAAAGTGTGGATGCACATAGACAGGCGCATCCAGCACCCGGTGAGCCGGAGCGCCTCCCGTGCTGGATCCGTTGAGAAAAAAGATTAAGGAAGATTTTGAATTAAATATATATAATTGTCAGTGCACAAATATTTAATGATAGACGGTGTAGCTCAAATGATAGAACGCTCACTCTCCAAGTAAGATGGACAGGGTTCCATTCCTTTCACATCCACTCCTTTTAATGTTTTAACAAATAATAATAAATAAATAAAAACTGTACCTGCCTTTAACCCAAAAACCATGTATCTTATATTGTGAAGTGCTTGCTTTGGATTCAAGACTTTGGGTTTGATTCCAATCACCTCCTCTCTTTCTTTTAATTTTTTAACAAATTAAATTATAACCAAACAATTATACATTATTAGTTTTCGTTTCCGAAAAATCTTTTTTAAGAAATTTATTGATTCAAATTATTATTTCATAATATATACTTTTATTATTAGATTTTATCAATTTACTTTGTAAAATTTAAATTTGGACAATTTAAGTACAATTTTTTTCTTTTAAGAATTCGAAAAACATTAAGTCAAAAATAGTTATAGTTATAAAAATTATTGTTTTAAAAATTTTGCATAAACTGCGCCTAAACTCGAAACTTGTCTTTATCGTTTAATCATGTTTTACATATAAATTTCGTCTTATCTCGTTTAAGTTTGTAAAAACTTGAAACTTGATCATTCATATATGATTGAAAATTTTATTTATTTATTTTAATTATTTTGGGTTGTGTTGAAATATATTTTCATATGTATATGATTTTTACGTATTAGTGCATTTATATATTGATTAAATTTTTTTTAATATTATTTAATTAAATATTAATAAACAATCTCACTATTGCGGTGGTCAACGGTCAACGACCACCATAACTTACTCAATATCCTGGATCCACCACTACACATAGACCGTGTTTGGATCCTACTTATAAGCGGTCAAACTATCTCACAAGTACAAATAACACCCAAACATGTTGGGCTTAAAAGGAGGCATATTTTTAACACAAAAAGGAGGATAAGCAATAAGCAACTCTCATTTTACTTATTGTCCAATTTACTTAGTTGACCAACATATGTACCATGTCCCCTTAGATTTCTTAAAATTCACCAACAACCCATCTTGAAAATCGTATAAAAAACTTGGCTGAAAAGGGCATTACAGTAAACCGTCACATTGATTTTGCTTATAAATAAGTTTGTTCCCGAACATACATAAATTTACTTACTTTATATATTACATAGTATCTTTTTTTAAGCCACATAAACAAGCCCATAATTGAGCTATTCAATTATACAAGATTTTTTTCCTAACAGATAACTTACTACAACCTCTTTATTATGTTAACTCCAATTTCCAGTTTAGCATATACTGCAGTAATACTCCAACTAAAAAGCATATTGCTTTAAATGAAGAGAGTGTGACTCTAGGAGACTGAATGCCAATATACATTCTTTCAGCTTGAAAGAAATGCCAAAACAAATCTTACTCGCTTCAAAATCATGCATCATGAGGAGTTCCAAGACCCCAAGAATTCTGCAATCTAAATTTCAGGCGTATGCAATTCATTCATCTCTAGTACTGAAGATAGAAGGGGAAGAGGAATTTATCTTTGTTTTGGCTTGCAATAAAGCTAGGGTCCTGATCAAGTAACTAGTAGTCATATCCATCCACCTCTCCAAACACAATATCTTGAGTACCACCTCTTGAAATGGCAACACGCAAAAAGGATTTCCTTTCTTTTCTTTGTAGTTTACATGTATACTTTATAGGATATTTCTTATAACAAATTCAACTAATGCCTTTTCATCAAAAGTAGGGGCTCCCATGGTTGAAGACCAAATTAAAGTTACAATGCTATGAATAATAAAATTTTAGACTCAAACCTTACCCATGAGGCTAGATTCTCCAAGACTTCATGTTTGACCTAAGAAATCAGGCTAGTAAAGGGACTTCATACACTGTTGCTGGTACATCAAGAAGTTCACCCCCTTCGGTGTTGTTTATTTTATACCTACCATATAAACCTAGTATTCTCCTTGTTGGGCAGATCTTATAGAACTTAGATAATAATGGAAACAAGAATTTACTGAATAAGCCATTCCACTGGCTGGAAAAGGTGCATAGTCCTCAACTACAAGAAAATTCAGTTACATTTTTTGGTCAGTAGATTTAACAAGCCTCTCAAGCATACTTATTCCAATAGTTGACATGACAGCTACCTTGGATGCAGGATAATATGCCAGTCACTATATATGCACACATCCATTAATTTCTTATCTATTTTTACACAAAGCATACAGACTGTTGAAGCAATAACTTGGCATATGAGTAACCCAGCAGTTCGATTAGATGTTCTAAGAGAAGATTTTATGTATTCCAGGTAAAAAAATTTCGTACCAAATTACCGATGATACAATTCAAAGATACATGTCTAGGAGAACAAAATGCATGGGAAAATACAAAGTTTTATGATTCACAAGTGCTTTAATTGTAGTCCAGCATCCTCTCTCTTTTATGTTACATAAAAATAGTGGTAATTTTTTTATTTTATCAACTCTAATGTCCAAAAAAGATTTATACGATTAGATAGTGAGTTGAGATAAGTGGTGATGTGGCCTTGCCGAGAAAACTTACTGGCTGTGACATTTAGGTCATAGTTATACGTCTTGCTTCTTATTTGTTTGCACCTCGAAATTGCCATTTCTACTGATATTTCCAAGATGATTACGTAGATGGCATTAAATAGGTAATACCCAAAGATGAAACATAAATAATACAAAATCTTCATGGAGAATTAGATACATGTGTCTCTTAACAGAAAAGGAAAGAGACGATAAACCATATAAAAATCAGCATGAAAACCTTTGCATACCTGAGAACTGTGGAAACCACTTGATTGTGCAAATGATAATGGTCTGATATTAATTCCTCCATTCATACGTTCACATAACTTGCAACTCAGAAGCCTCAGCATCGTAAGCATACCCAAGACTCCTAATAACACTGCAAATAAAGAGTAATTTCAATCAGTTGAAAAACTTAAAATCACTCTCACAACTATAAGAATTTCAAGGTTTATGAGTTCACCCCCACACAAAAACATTCGATTCGGCATACTGAAATCACGATACCCAGAACTTTTGTGGAGCATTTCATCGAACATGTAGAGCGC